GGCCTTACCAGCAGCTTTACCATAAAGCAAAATGTCTTGATTTTGTGTACAGTTGTGGTGTCAAACCTGCTTGACCTATGATTAAGAGTGAAGGATTGTGGGGTTAGAAGAGCCACAAGAAGAAGCAGGAACCTAGGGAAGTGTGTTCTCTCACCAGGATGGCTTGGTAATCTGACATTGTCTAGTTCAGATCAATGCTGATAACAGGGAGGTTGAGGCAAACAGCACCCAAGCAGCCTCTACTACTGCAGACACATCAATGAGCTCTTCCCTAAGACAAAGCTTTGCCTGCTTTGAAATTTTTCTGAGTATTCATCCTGAAAACGTGTGGTACCCTATACTTCAGCAGAAGAGCATCATGACACAATCAATTTCTGGAGATTATCTGCTTTGCCAGAAGCTAGGCTAGGCTTCCTCTGTTCATTTTATGCAGGAAGAATATTTGGACTTAGAAGAACACCAAAATAAAAGAGTATTCCTTATCTCTACCCACCTAGGCCTGTCAGGGTAGTCCTTCTAATTAGACAATAAAGCTGTTACCGAGCACAAAGATAAACTCTTTCCTCATTAACCATCCTGCAGGCCTTTGAAACCTGCCTGACAGCCTTGACACTCAGCCCATGAAATCGTGTGGCACCTTTTCAAGAAGACGCCCATCCATGTCTATAAAACATGGCTTTATAACTAAGAAGAATGAATGATTTCCTATCCATTGTTGAACCATTGGGCCACTTGCAACCCAACACTGTCTTATTAGGCAAGAGGCCACACCTGGAGCTATTTTGCACCTGATTGTACCCTCTGAAGCTGTTGCTGGCCCACAGTCGCTCCACAGAAAGGATGGTGAAACCGGGACCTATAAAGCCTCACACCAAATCCCGAGGCAGGCTGCTAACAAGTCTAGCTCCCCTATGTCCCTATAGCTGTAAGTGTCACATCTTTATGTCCATGTTTATGTTCATTCCTAGGTGGAATCTTGATGAATTTGTGACATGGTAAGTAAAACCCTAGGGAGTGGCTGTAAGTCTCAAGAAGTTGGTATTGCATGGCAGAATAGGTATCTTTGCTGCCTTCGAATTAACTCCATAACCCTTCCTATACCCATTAATTTATCCAACATATTAATGGGCATGCCCATATGATTAAGGCCTAAGACATGGGGCAAAGTCATGTCCTCCTGCATCCTACACTCAGCTTTACTTACAAGGTGTGGGACTAATCAGGAGCAAACTGGGTAGAAAATCCTAGGCTGGGAAGTGGAAAGACTGTGACTCTACCATGTGCCTTTGCAGGCCTTCTCTGAGAGTATGGTATGAGGACAGAGCTTTGGGGAAGGAGTTGCTCCATACAGCCCCAGCTGTGGCTTGTCACTCATTGATTCTAGAGGACTATAGCATCTTCCAGTACAGAGTACATCGCCATGTTTCTGAAGTCTCCACTTTTCTCATATTGTCACATTTTGACCATTGTGAAAGCTACCCAAACCCAAATTCCGTTACTGGTGTCAAGCCCTAACACAAAGTAAAGTCAGTGGTATTTTAAGAAAGGACTGAAATGTATTTTTACTTGATACCAAGAAGCAATGCAAATGAGTCGGAACATGCAAAAGATCTTCCAAGAAAATGTTAGTCTGGCAACATCTATTTAAACTTGGGTCAGTGTTACCTTTGGAGCTCCTGTTACTGAATGGTGTTTTAAAATAGCATTTAAACAACAATTAGGTTGGTTGTGTCTCTAAGTTTCTTTTAGGTATTCATCAGTGGTTCCCATGGCTCTCTTATTCTACATCACAAAGTCCTATGTTAACTCCTAAATAAAAGCCGGCATTCTTCAGACATCTCCCTCTGTCTCTATTGAAAGGCTGATCCCATTGAACACACCCTCTGGACTATTACTCTTCTGCTACTGTGTTGAATCTTTTTATTGTAACATATGACTTTAATAAGGAGCTTTAATACTACTCCCATAAATGGAAGGGATATATTAATTACAATAAATTAGAGGTTGGCATGCTAAATGTGTCACTGTTTCTATAACCAAAATACTGGTAAAAGCAAAGAAAAGCATAATATAAAAAATAATGTCTTTTTCACAAAAGGGTATATCAAGAATAATTCATTTGGTATAGGAATTAAATCACTGATAGTCATTTATAATAGTAAAACCAGAGTGTCCCCACCCACCTTGTCGAACACTGTGGCCACCAGTTAGGTACCAAGGGACATCATCATTGTTGTCAGCTCCGTGGACTCAGAGAACGTTTTCTGCTGATGTTCAGCTCTTTAGCTGGGCTTTGTGTTATGTTTACACCTCCTAGGAGCTTTGTTTTCTTTCTTATTTATTTTAGATTTTTTAATACATTTTACATCCCAGCCACAGTTTCCCCTCCCTCCCTTCCTCTCACTCCCCCCTACCTCCCCCTCTACCAACTCCCATCCACTCCTCCTAAAGAGTAAGACCTCCTGTGGGGAGTCAACCAAACCTGACACATGAAGTTGAGGCAGGACCAAGCCCCTCCCCACCTGTATGAAGGCTGAGCAAGGCATCCCAGTATAGGGAAGGGAATCCAAAAAGCCACCTCCTGCACCAGGGATAGACCCTGGTCCTACTGCCAGAGGACCCTCAAACAGACCATGACACCCACATGCAGAGGCCTAGTTAGGTCCCCTGTAGGCTCCCCAAGCTGTGAATCTAGATACCTCCCTGAGTTCCCATGAGCTCCAGTTAACTGTCTGTGTGGATTTCTCTTGGTTTGTGGTGTAGATAGGGGTCAGTCTCCCTGGAGTCAACCTGGTCTGAAAGCTGAGTGACAGAGTCCTGTACTCATGGATGAGACCCTAGGGAGAGCTGTTCTCTCCCTGTGTATGTATATGCGCTCATCTCCAGGGGCACAAAGCACTGGAACTCTGACCCAGCACACCAGGAGACCCAAGGGCTGCTCAGAAAGAAGCTGTTGGTGGGAAGGGGACCAACAATGAAAGGACTCAAGAAATAAAAACAAGAATTGGCACCCGAGCTTGTACCAAATAAAAAAGCTGTGTAAAACAAGATGTACAATCAACAGATAACAAAACAACTCCCACAACTAAGGCTCAGGGAGCATCAGGGGGAGGAGGCAGAAAGACTGTCAGAGCCAGAGGACCAGGAAGTCGGCCAGGAAATTGCCTCTCTTGGAAACAACAGGGAAGTTACACCCATGATACTTCAACAATATAGCTGCTAAAATAAGGCCTGAACAATGATACTAGCAATAGGTGTGCTAGCTTTGAAGGGAGAGACTCTCATGGGGATCCACCCCAGACAAAGAAATACAGGCACTAGGGCTCATGGGCACAAGGATCAAAGCTTGAAACCTCTCTGTCTGAGCCCAAGTTCAGATTCTCTCCTCATGTTGAAGTACCACAAATCATCCAGCGGCACATCAGGTTAGCCCAGCTCTCACTGAACCGCTTAGATCACAGGGTTAGAAGGACGACCACTGAAACTCTAGAAAACTACTTCCTCCTCCTTAGGACCCAAGGCGCTACACCTTCAGGTCTGGCAATGTTGCTCCCAGCCTTACCCATTCCGAGCAAAGTTGGCCCAGAATTTCATCACCATCTTGCTGAGACTGATCTCCTCTTCTGAGGCACCATCTGTGGGGGGAAAAAAGTTATAAAATTAGCCTACCTAACTTAAGGTGTGGTTAATGAGCTAAAAATTAACTTACATAACCTAAGATGTGGTTGATGAGCTGCAACAACATTGCAATCTGAGTCCCTTGAATAAATGTAGTCTTGAGTATGAACACATCGGGCTGAATGTGCCCGATCGGTCCTATGATCCTAATCCCTGAAGATACATGGAGTCAGGCCTGGTTAATATTTGAAGGGGAGAAATGCACTCTTGACCTTTATTACATATTCACAGAGCAAATTCTGCCTTTAAGAAGATCTTTGTGAGTACGCCTTCGATTTAAAGTTAAGAAGAATATATCAGATGCCCTATGCATTTCTCTCTAATACTGACCTGTCTGACATCCATCTCCCTTGAAGTCCAATGGCAACAAGACTCAGTTTCCATAATTTTACCACCAGAGTTGCTTGCCCTTAGGTCTGTTCACAACCTCCTACATATACACCTCTTCATAGACTCTGAAAATAATCATAACTGGGCGATGCCCAAAGACACTGGTGTGCCATGAGGGACATACCATAGGTCACACGTTATATGCAACTGTTGAAAAGTAAGGTATTGAAGACCTTTGTGAAAGGTTAACTAAATATCACATCTTTAAGCGTATTTAAGTTTACGGTATATATTAGATAGCTAGATAGGTAGGAACATGATAAGCCTTCTTCAAAGTTAGAAAATTTTCTAACTCTTCCCTTACGCATATTCTAGTACTTATGGGAGGCAAATCAAATACTGGCATTCTTGCCCTAAAGGGCCAGTGGGTGACTACAGCGGTATGAATAAAAGTGGTCCCCAAAGGGAATAGCACTACTAGAAAGTATGACCTTGTTTGAGGAGGTGTGTCACTGTGGGGATGGGCTTTGAGGTCTCTTTTGTTCAAGTTTCCCTCAGTGTGACTGCCAGTTGACTTCCTGTTGCCTACAAGATGTAGCACTCTCAGCTCCAGCACCATGTCTGCCTGCACACCAACCACCATGCTCTCGGTCATGATGATAGTGGACTGAACCTCTGAAACAGTAAGTGAGCCACCCCAATCAATTTTTTCCTTATAAGAGTTTCTGTGGTGATGGTGTCTCTCCACAGCAACTGAGACAGTGACCTTCTAATTCTCTTATTGGTGTCACAGCAGGATTCTGAGAATGACTGTGGCTGGGGACACCTTAACACAGTCCCATTGTGTGTATTAAAGTAGGAGAATGGGTGGGGACTGTCCTACAGCTGAACCCCATTGTAGAGCATCAGGAACACCATTTTAAAAGGAGAGACTTGCTCAAGGCCATTAAGAAAAAATCCAAACCCAGGTCTCAGATCACCAAGGCCACAACCAGCAAACAGACTTTACTTTTTTAAAACGGGGCGCCTAATACAGAGAAGAGATCATCACCATGGTCTCCTTTCACTGTCTTGGGTCTCTTTTCTGATACAAAGCTTGACCGATATTGAAACTCATACATGTAGGTAGGGGCTCCAGCATCTGAGGAGACATGGATTCATGCACAGGTCACATTTCCAGACACACACCTGGATGGTGTCAAGGTCATAGGCCCTGCAGTTAACATCACTCTTTAGCTTCAGAGGAAATAGCTTTAGGAAGTCCCAGTGATCTGCTTAGGTTTGCACAGCTGGTCGATATAGTCCTAGGATTTGAAGAAGATGCTTACTGAATGAACAGTGAATGGAGCCACACATGCAGCGACTGAATGGGATGAGTGTCAGTCACGACACATGTGTATTGCTTCCTAGAAGATCTAGAACCTCATAGTTGCATCCTGCCTAGCTCTGGGCATTCGAAGAGTTTCTCAGCTCTTCCGAGGCATAAGGAAATGAAGACACATAAATAAGATTCTATGCTGGGATAGAATGATCTATCTCTTGTGTTTCATGATATCTCCAACTTCATTGGTTGTAGTGAGGGCTCGGAGCTGCGGGCAGGCCTGCTTTTCATCCCGCCCAGCTCCTGCATGGCTAGCTTTGCCCCAGAAATAACAACACACAAACTGTATTCATTTAAGCACTGCCTGGCCCATTATCTCTAGAGAGTTAGTTACTAACTCTCATATCTTGATATTAACCCATTTCTAATAATCTGTGTAGCACCACGAGGTGGTGGCTTACCGGAAAAGATTCAGTGTGTCTGACCTGGTGGCTGGCTCCATGGCATCTGCCCCATTGCCCTCTTCCCAGCATTCTGTTCTGTTTACTCCGCCTACCTAATTTTCTGTCCAATCAGAGGGCCAAGGCAGTCTCTTTATTAACCAATGAAAATAACACAATAGACAGATAACCCTCCTCCATCATTTCCCCCTTTTCTGTTTAAACAAAAAAGAAAGGCTTTCATTTTAACATAGTAAAATTACATATAACAAAATAGTTATCAAGTAAGAATTACAGTTAAAATATTTATATCTATTTTATCTTTATCATAATAATGGAAAGCTATAACTAACCATTCTTCAACTCCATAAAAGACTCCAGAAGGATATAATATTACCTAAGTAAACAAGAAGTAAGCATCTTTCAAAACTCTAGAAATGACAGAGACATCTCGCTGCCTGGACAGTCACCCAAGGTTCCTGTGTACCGTTGGGGCATCCATCTTCAGCCTTCAGGCCCATCATACCCAGCAGACATTTCCATGAAGCAGGAAATTTCAAAGGCAGTTCAGTCACTATCTGCTGTGTCCTGCAGAATGTCTCGCAGACTCTTTCATAAATCAGGAACCCTGAAAGATCATCTCACCTTTAGGCAAGTTCAGCAGTCCTTTCTGCGGGTTCTCTGTGTCCAGTTTATACAACAGTCCAGGCAAGAGCAGTTTCTTGCCCAAATGGCTAACCAACTCCATAAGGAGCCTCTTTGATGCCCATCTTCCTCTTGAAGTAGATTGGTGCTGCCTGGAGCAGATGTGTCTCATTGTCATGAAAAGCCCTAAGTTATTAAAACATTAAATGACATGTTCTGTAGTCTTTGAAAGATATGAAGAATGCTTATCTTAAATATATCTATGCACATCTAGAAAATCAAACTAACATTACTACAAGCTTGACTATTATCAATGATTATCCATTAACAACCTATATTTTTAATTATACATTGCATTTTTAAATGAACTACACAATCACAATACCTCAATCAAGATCAGAAATATATATATATATATATATATATATATATATATATATATATATACATATAACAAAATTGACCTTAAAATCCATACCAATGCAAATGATTCATATCTATATCATATCCCCTTTTAAATGTAAAAGAACATTTATAAACAATATTTGGGAATATGGACGTAGTTATTTCTCTCCAAACTTCTTCCTGCTGTATAGGGGCACTGTTAATCAGGTCTTTCATGGTAAAACCTGTCTGCCAGGTTCATCTCAGTTGGCAGTTGAGTGAAGTAATTTCTTGAGGGTGTTCACAGCAACCTTTCAGGAGGACGTGGTCTATCATACCATATTGGGATAGAAGCAATCCATAGGGTCTCATCCTCTGTGAAAACAAAAGAAGGACCTCCTTTCCAAAGCATCATATTCTTAGACCCAAATTCTGAAGTCAAGATATTTTCAAAATATCTATCTTGGTTTAGTTCATCAGCATTTATAAACAAATATCTTTTAGCAGCTGTTGCTCCTTCCTCAGCATTCAAACAATTCAAAGAGAGCATAATAGCATACAGTATCAAGATTCTCTGTGTATTTTCCATCTTTATGCAGCTTTATTTTAACCTCTATTTCTTTTATTTTTACTTTTACTTTTAGAGACAGGTTCTCTGTATATCTTTGTCCTGGACTACCTCTGTAGACCAGGCTATCCTTGAACTCACAGAGATCTGTCTGTCTCTGCCTCCCAGTGCTGAGATTAAAGGCGTGTGCTACCACACCTTGAACTCACAGAGATCTGTCTGTCTCTGCCTCCCAGGCATTGGGATTAAAGGTGTGTGCTACCACACCTTAAAGTCACAGAGGTCAATCTACCTCTGCCCCTTGAAGTCTCAGAAGTCAATCCACCTCTACCTCCTGGGCATTGGGATCAAAGGTGTGTACCACCACACCTAACTACTCTCTTTTTACTTTAAGAACTTTAACTTTTATCCTGCATTTATTTTTAACACACTGTAAACCATTAAGAGGTTTTCTTTGTCTTTGAATCTCTCTTTACTGTATGTCTCTCTTTTTTTGATCACATGAGTCTTTAAGGAGAGGACTAAAACTGTGTCTTTTATGGCTGGAATTAGCCCATTCCTTAGTTTTCCAGCCTCAAGGCTGAGGTACCAACCAGAGCTGTGTTCACTGCCACAACTCTATGGCGTTTCAAGGTCCTTGCCAGCAAGCTGCAGCATTCTGCTCACAGACCACACTCAGTCAGACTGCCTGCCTGAAAGAGTCAGAGTTTGCGCTAGCAGGACAGCCCAGAAAGCCAGCATTTTAAAACGGCACAGCTTTTTTCCTGCTACAGCTGAAAGCCGAAAAGCATGCGTTCAGCTTTTCGTCAACACCATTTAAGTGTTTTGTAACAGGACCTTTTAAAAGAGCTGCAAGGTTTTGCAGCTGAAGCTGAGTCAGGAAGCCTCTCTTAGATGAGAGTGCTTGCTTGCCTCTAGCAAGCAGTGCAGACCTGAGAAATTGCTGCCACCAAGAAAACATGCTTTACTCTATTCTTTCCCAAGCTTTCTCAGGCTTTCTGTGGATTCAGTCATCCACGTGGGCGTCATATATAGTGATGGAGCTGCGGGCAGGCCTGCTTTTTGTCCCGCCCAGCTCCTGCATGGCTAGCTTAGCCCCAGAAATAACAACACACAAATTGTATTCATTTAAGCACTGCCTGGCCCATTATCTCCAGAGAGTTAGTTACTAACTCTCATATCTTGATATTAACCCATTTCTAATAATCTGTGTAGCACCACGAGGTGGTGGCTTACCGGAAAAGATTCAGTGTGTCTGACCTGGTGGTTGGCTCCATGGCATCTGCCCCATTGCCCTCTTCCCAGCATTCTGTTCTGTTTACTCCGCCTACCTAATTTTCTGTCCAATCAGAGGGCCAAGGCAGTCTCTTTATTAACCAATGAAAATAACACAATAGACAGATAACCCTCCTCCATCAATTGGTAGCCCAAAAGTAGGGTCTTTTTTTTTAAGTTTTTTTTTTCAGACTATATGTTCTGATGACAGTTTCCCTTCTCTAACCCTTTCCTGATGCTCACCACCAAACCAAATGCACAGCATCTCTTTAGCAAGCAAACAATCAGACAAACAAACCCAAACAGAACAGGACAAATAATCGAGGAGGAAAGAACAAGAGCCAAAGGAAAAACACAAGAAACACATACAGACACAGAGACCTTCCACACATACAGAAATTCTGTATAAACACAAAATTGGAAACAGCAAAAATATCCAGACAAAACATTATGAGGGCAAAATATCTCCTCAAATACCAATGAGTTAGTTTGGTCTCTGTCATCTACAGTCGGGCATGGGGACTGCTCTTAAGAGTTGATTCCATACCTTCTGAGACTGTTAGAAAAAACTCAGTTTTCCTTTGTGGGTGGTTGTGAATTAGAGACAACATCTTGGCTAGAGAAACATGACTGTGTCCATGTCCTCTCTCAGCACCGGAACCCCATCTGACCTAGGCCCGTGCAGCCCCTGTGCTGCACAGTCTCCGTGAGTTCACATGTGCATCAAGGCTGTTGTGTCCAGAGGCCTTGTTTCCTTGGCCTCCTCCATCCCTTCTGGCTCTTATGGTCTTTCTGCCTCCTCTGTACCAGTTTTCTCTGATCCTTGAGGTAAGGAATTCGATGGGGACATACCTTTTAGGGCTGCGTGTTCCAAGGGCTCTCACTCACTGCATATTGTCTAATTGTACTCTCTGTATTTGCTTCCATGTACTGCAGGAGGGAGCGTCTCTGATGATGGCTAGGGAAGGCACTTATCTCTGAGTACAGAAGAATGTCACCAAGGGTCGTTTTATTGCTGTGTTCCTTTAGCAGAACAGTATATTTGGTTTTCCCCTAGGCCCTTGGCCTATAAATGGTGGTAAAATTGAAGTGCCAGGGCAAGGCAAACTTGTGTTTCCTCCATATTCTTTCCTCCTCTCCACTGACTCCTCTCTTACCAACAAAGAAGACCTGTTCAAGGGTCAAGATGTCACTATTTTGCTTATAGGGTCAATGGAGGCACCAATCTTTGCTCCTCATGTACGAGCCCATAAACCTCCAGCCCGGGAGCTTCAAGACAATGGTTTAATAACACATATTAGATAGAGTAGGGAAATTCAAAATGCTAAAAAAAGTGTAAATTTACTGAAAACATTCTTACTCTATTACATGCCATATATTATACATGCACACACATATATTCTTATATTTATAAATATATATACACATAATATACCTTTATAATTTATAATTCTGTTTTATCATCCATATACTTCACACATGTATTGGAGGTAATTTTGTGTATATTATATTAAATACTATTTTTTATTTTTTGAGAGGGTTTCTCTGTAGCTTCAGAGCCTGTCCTAGAACTAGCTCTTGTAAACCAGACTGACCTTGAACTCACTGAGATCTGCTTTCCTCAGCCTCTTGAGTGCTGGGATTAAAGGTATGTGCTACCACCACCGGGCTACATCTCATTACTTTGTGCCATGAGATGTCCATTGCAAGAAGTGATGATGACAGCACATGTCATCACAACACAGGATGGGGAATATTTTAATTAACTCACAACTCTGTCACCATAGCTTTAGGCAAACCTGTGACTCTGTCATCCCCTTAGGAAATAGTTCTCCAAGGTCAAGTAGAAGTTCCTGGAAAGACAGTAAACCTCGCCTTTGTGAAGATGTGGAGACAGATTTATCCTATGTAGTGCAAGGTTTTAACAGAAAGTTATGCTAATGATTATAGCTGAGATTACTCCTCAAGTAGAGTTAAAATAAACTTTCATTCAATGATATAATTTTTTACATAAGAGACATAAAGTGTGTGTTCATTAGCGGGTAGAGTCATAAGGTAACAATGTTATCAGAGGAGACAGGAAGCATGTGGGAGCATATGGCCATATTATCAAAGTTACACTTCCCCAGCTTCCTGTGCGCTATTAGAATTACACTGGGGTCAGTGAGACGACTCACAGCTGGATTCCTGAGTCCAGTTCCCAGAATTTCTATGGTGGAACAAGAGAACTGAGTCCCACTCTGACCTTCACATTGACATGGTGGCATGGGCACATGGCAAACACACAGGTACAAATAGACATAATTTATCTGTAAAAGCAGAATGGTAGATGTAGGATTTATAGTAGACACAAAGCAGAAGTCTTCAG